CAAGTAAAGCAAGGTTGATGAAATAGGTTCCAGGTCAGACATCAAAATGACCTTTTCCATTGTCCGTGCCCACCCCGCCCCCCAAGACCTGGTCTCTGTTGACTTGATCACCAATCACCCAAGATAGTGTCATTGCCAACCAAAAACCAATTTTAGTGCTGCTCAGTCCATTCTTACTCATAGCAACCCCAGGGGACAGAGTAGAAACTACGTCTGTGGGTTTCTGAGACTACATCTTTATGGGAGTGGAAAGCCTCATCTTTCTTCTGTGGAGTGGCTCAGGGTTTCAAACTGCTGACCTTGTGGTTAGCACCCAACGTGTAACCCACTAAGCCACCAACTTGTAACAACTCCTTGTGTTGGTTAGGCCTTGGGAATTGGGAGAAATATATCTTAGTTCAGTTTGGTGGTGCTGTCAGGTAAGCTAACTGCAAAGTCAGCGGTTCGAACCCACTGGCTGCTCCTCGGGAGAAGGATGAAGCCCTCCATAGCAGAGGTGGGAACTGTACGGCCCGGGGGCTCATCAGGCCAAGGGAATCCCATTAGGGGTGAGTTAGTTAATTGTCTGACCACTGTGGCCCTTGGAAGAAAAATAGATTCCAATCCTGGCTATATGAAGTCTCTGAGCACCACAATCAACTCAATGGCAGTAGGTTGAATTTAAGTAAGCTTTCTGAAAAACCTCTTCTGCGGGAAAGACACAGGTGTGTTCTAAATTCCAAACTGCACACGGTAAACAGTGTGCATTCTGGGGAAGGGACGGAGCTAACATGTATCCACATATTTGCAGTATTTGTCAGCTCTAGGTAGTGCATGGTAGTGGTAAACAGATGGCCCTGGGAGAAAGAATCGAGGAATGTCGTTTCAGAGTTGAAGCATCAGGAAGGGCTCTGAAGGAGGAGGGCAGAGAGAACGCTGGTGTTGCTTATTAATCTGTCTTCAAATGGGTGTTCCAGTAAAACCTTTGTGACCATCTTTGACTTGTCAACAGGACTGTTAGAAGATAATTACCTGATAATTTCCACACTTCTGTTTATTAGGCAATTGATAGATTGGTGGTCTTTGAATGGATAACAATCTTGACTTCTTAAATTAGTTTGTTGGCATAGTGTTTAAATTAGTACATTAAGTGGTAAATATGTTTAATGAAAGGCACAGACACTTGGAAAAAACCAAACAAACCCCAATCATAAAGGTTGACTGGCTTCTACCAGCTTGGTGATTCTGCCATTACTATTTAAGATGTCTTTTCTTTTGTCCCCGGTTTTCAGGCCGCTTGGATTTTAAAAGCTCGAGCCCTAACTGAAATGGTCTACATAGATGAAATTGATGTGTATCCGGAAGGAATTGCAGAAATGATTCTGGATGAAAATGCGATTGCTCAAGTCCCACGTGCGTATTGTTTTCTCAGCACTCAGGGGGGGTAGTGGGTTACGTACTGGGCTGCTAACCACAAGGGGTTGACGGTTCAAACCCTCCAGTTGCTCATCAGGAGAAAGATGAGGTTTTCCAGTCCTTTAAAGACTCAGCCTCAGAAACCCAGAGGGACAGTTCCCTGGTGTTCTACAGGCTTGCTGTGAGTCAGAATCCACTTGACAATAGTGAGGGTTTTTTGTTTTGTTTTTTAAATGAGTTGCTATTAGGAGAAGACCTCAACGGTACATACGTACAGGAAACAAGACGTTACCTCAAGTTAACGGTCTCTATCCTCCCTTATAGCACAAAGGCTTTTCTTCGACCGTTCCTTTAGAATAGCTTAATCTTAAATGTTTGCGGTCCGTCTTTTGCTATTTTCTAATGTTGAATTTCCAGTTGCTATTGAGTCAGTTCCACCTCATGGCAACTTCCTGTGTCTCAGAGTAGCTCTGTGCTCCAGAGGATTTTCAGTGACTGACGCATTGAGAAGTAGATCGCCAGACCTTTCTTCCGAGGATGTGCCTCTGGGTGGATTTGAAACTCCAACCCTTTGGTTAGCAGCTGCGCGTGTTAACCATTTGTACTACCCAGTCCTATCTCTTCCACTCATCCAGTGCTGCAGCAGGGACTTCTTTAGGGCCGATGCCCAGGAAGCATGAGAGCTACGGTATCAAGGGATGGCCATTTGAAAAGCCCCCTTGGGTGGAATATTGATCTTCTCTGACGTAGGAGTGATTTGGCTGGATGCTGAGTGACGATAGAGAGAGGCCCAGGCCTCAGGATGCCAGTGTGCTGGTGTGAGTGGCATAGGACAATCCCCATGACACATAGTGGTCTCGTCTTAACAGTTGTGAAAGTTCTTGGCCCTTGACCTCTTTCAGAAGGTTTTAAAGGTTCAAATGGAAATATGTAAATGATTCATATTGAAATGCCTTTCTTGTCTCCTGATCATTTTGCTCTTTTGGAATTAAAATCTCTAAAGTCTAATGTTCTCATTAGTATTGTGGGTAGATGTGCTTTTATTGGGAGAAGAAAGAGAAAAAGAATTGTCTGCATAGAAACATTCTGAGTGTTGAAGCATGCTAGTCTGGACGCTGAATCCCAGTTCTCACTCACTGCCATTGGGTCGGTGCCCTGTTTCCGAGTTTCTGACACCCTGACTCTCTGTGGGAGTAGCAAGCCCCATCTTTCTCCTAACCTGGAACCACTAAGCTCTACTCCTGGGTTACCTTGGCTCCTTAAATCTCTGAGCATGAAAATGTGCCAACACCATCTGCCTACTTTACAGACTTGTGTAAAGAGAAAATGTGGTAACTTTACTAACAAGTTCCTTACTCAAAACCCAAACTCGCTGCCATCACATGGATTCCAGTATTCCAACTCTAGGGACATATAGCACAGGGTAGAATTGCCCCTCTGGGTTTCTGAGACATTACATCTGTACGGGAGTAGTCTTGCTTGTCTCCCTCAGAGCTACTGGTGGATTTAAACTGATGACCACCGGGCCTCCAAGAAACAAGAATCACTCAACTGACCACCAATTCCATCTCATAGTGATCTAATAGGTCACAATGTAGAATTTCCCCTGTGAGTTTCCGAGACTGTAACTTTTTATGTGAGTAGAAAGCCTTGTCTTTCTCCCAAGGGGCAGCTGGTGATTTTGAACTGCTGACCTTGCAGTTAGCTGCCAAATGTATAACCACTGCGCCACCAGGGCTCCAAGTAACAAGACAGGGACTCAATAGATTTCAGTCTGAAACACATTTTCTGAAAATGCATTTCTTATTAATGTCTCATCCACCAAGCTAACACCATTCTGATACTTGCACCAAATGACAGTCTTTCAAGATGAACAGACACGTAGTAGTCTCTCCAGTGAGTTTGCCATTTCATCTTGTAGGCCCCGGGACCTCTCTGAAACTCCCTGGAGCTAACCAGACGGGAGCGCCTAGTCCAGCCGTCAGGTAAGCACGTCCCTTCTCCTTCTCAGTGTGAGCCTCGCTGCCCGAGAACCTCCTTTCCTTCGGGACCTGGGCGTTGAGCCAGTCGATGCTCTTTCCAGGCCTGTCACTCAAGCTGGCAGGCCCATTACAGGCTTCCTGAGGCCCAGCACCCAGAGCGGACGGCCGGGCACCATGGAGCAGGCCATGAGGACACCACGGACTGCCTACACCGCACGCCCAGTGACGAGCTCCTCCGGGAGATTTGTCAGGCTGGGCACGGTAAGTGCTGTCAGCGTGGACACAGCTTTGTGTTACCAAGTGCGACCTCATTTCCCACTGTCCTGAGGGTGGAGAATGACGTGGGAAAGTTGTTGAAGGCGGTGCTTTTTGTTTGGTCTTTCTAATTTCTATGCACCTTAAATTCAATTTATGTTTCAAGATAAAGTGTTGAGTTTCATGTTCTCTTTATCTACTCCCCTGCCCCCCACCTAGGCTTCAATGCTTACGAACCCCGATGGGCCCTTCATCAATTTATCACGACTGAATTTAACGAAATATGCCCAGAAACCTAAATTGGCAAAGGTAGGTACTAAACTTTTTCCCCCCTTTCTTTCAGTTACGGAGTAATTGTAGAATTAAGATGATATGGCTCTGTTTAGGAAATGTACTGTATATACTCGATTATAAGCCACGTTTTTCAGCACATTTTAAATGCAGTTTTTGTGGTAAAACGAGGTGCCTTGGCTGATATTCGGGTCAGCTTATACTCAAGTATATACGGGATGAAATTTTGTGAATGGAGGCCCCTGTCTTCTTTGAATAGTCACAGTTTTAACTATTTCTAATACCAAAATGTCTGTTGGATTTGAGTTAGGAAAAGCCAACTGGTCTGGTTCTAGATAGAGTGGGGGGGAAATGTGGAACAAAACTCAAAATCATGGAAGAAGATGGGCTTACTGGCTGCATAAAGACTATCGGAAACCCTAAGGCTGTGACTCTTGGTCACCCATCAAGTCTGGAAGTGAACCAATGCCCATGCGCAATTTCACTGGGCGGTAAGGGGAACAGTAATGCTAGGCAGGTACCCTTTCAAGGTCAGAAGGGCGGCTTTTGCCCAAGGACCACGCTCTGGAGGGCTCGGAAAGGAGCAGGAATGGGAACCGGAAACGCAGGGCGTAGTGGATTGAGTGGAGCTTTATCGTGGGCACTGCAGTCAGTGACACGAAACAAAATGTGTCTGAGTCGTTGAATGGAAACGGATTTGCCTGTAACTGTTCTTCAACTTACAATGAAAATTAAAAAAAAAAAGTTAACTAGAAATAAAACCATACAGACCATGACTATAAGGAATTCTTTTTCCCCTGATAAAGAACAGTCATTTCTAGCAAAGAAAAAGGTGTGTAGAATCGAATGAACATTTTAGGAGATCTTGTGCACAAGTGTGTGTGTGCACGTGTATGCGTGTGTGTCTGTGTCTGTGAGTGTGTGTCTGTGTGTGCATGTCTCTGCATTCTGTGCGTGCGCGCGCATGTGCGCGCTCTTCGAACTGCTGACCTTGCAGATCGCAGCTCAGCGTGTAACCATTAATCCACCAGGGCTACGTCCCTTTTTGATTTTTGATTTTCTCTTTTCCAACTTGGGCTATTCTCAGATGAAGGTTCATCTTTCTAGAGCTTTGGGATGGTCAGAAGTAACATTATGTTTTTAAAAAGGTGCACTTCTTCTACTTAATCCATCAGGCATCACAAGAAGGGCTCATGGGCAGACAGTGGCCAGCCAGCTGCGTTAGTAATTCTAACTGCTCAAGGATTAACTGCTCCTTTGAGTGAGTGGGGCTGAGTATGACCTTTCTGAGATAAAAGAAACATGAGCATGGGGTTGAACAGACAGGAGGGCTCGGGCCCTTAGCTTCTCGAAGCCAGATTGAGCCGAGCCCAGGCACTTGGCTGGAGTGCTGAGCCCGTCCCGGAACTCAGCTCTGCTGGTGTTTTTCTTCTTTCCTGCACGCACATCAGAGAAAACAGAGCCGCTAGCCAAACGGACGTGAAGTTTACATCAGGAAAAGGAAAGCCACTCTGCGCAGGCTTTCCGAGTGTTGGGTCGACGCTGCAGTCGGTCAGGTTCATTGCACAGCGTTCCCACGCTGTGCTTCTTGACGACACTAGAGCATTAAAGGAAGTTCAGTCATAGACTCTTCCTCCAGCCCCCACCCTCCACATTTGAGAGGGCTGCCGAGCCAGGTGGCACGTCCTGTTGGTTCTCACCCCGTGGGAGCTGGGAAACGGAGCCGTTTCAATTAAGATGCTTCTAGAACAGACCTTGTCCACAGTACTTATCTGCTTAAGAAACTGAAATCGCAATCCCCGTGGTCATTTCCATGCTCACAGCTACCCTATAGGGGTGAGTGGAACTGCTCAGTGGGGTCTTCTAGGTGGTAAATCTTTATGGAGATAGACAGCCTCATCTTTCTACTTTGGAGCAGCTGGTGGGTTTGAACCACCAGCATTGCAGTTAGCATCCAAATACTTAACCCGCTGCACTGTTAGGGCACCTCACTAAGTTTAGATAGACTTGATTTTGAGCTGCCTTGTAGTATATTGTAGAGATAATGCCAGGGCTTCCAAGCTTCTGTTAGCAGTCTCTACATCTTCCAGGGACACTAGTCTTTTGGCAAATGTAAAATATGCCCATGGGGACCTAGTGCCATCCAGAGTTCACCCAGTCAATGGCTGTGAATGTGGACTAGTTGGGCAAAGTATTGAAGCCGTGGCTCTCAACCTGGTTGTGCATTAGAGCTACGTGGGAGCTTTAAAAAACATGGGGGAAGGCTCACTCTCTTAGAAATTTTAGTTTAATCAGGTTGGTGTGGGACACTTCTCCCCCCCGCCCCAGGTAATTCCAGGGTATAGCGAGGGCTGAGGACCACTCTGCTGAAGAGAGTACTCAATATATAGACCACATAAGGAGAAGTAGCCTCACAGTGAAGCAGCAAAGAAACACTGCATGCTGTGTTAATACTCAGAATGGTCATTATTGTCATCAGTCATGGGATACTGTATGTGATTCACTGCCGTGGATTCAATTCTGACTCACAGCAACCCTCTAGGACAGGATAGAGCGCTCGCTATGGATTTCCGAGACTCAGTCTGTACGGGAGTAGAAAGCCTCCTCTTTCTCGCACAGAGCAGCTGGCGGTGTGGAGCTGCTGACCCAATGCCTGGCCCGTTAAAAAGTTGGCGGAACCCGTTTCATTTCCGACCATCCTGAAGCCGATCTTTAAGAAAGAAAACCCGGCTCTGCCTGTGTTGGCTTTTACTAACGTGGCCTGCACAGTGTGGGAAGTATGGCAGCTATGTGAGCTGGCCAGTGCGGAGGGGGTTCTGTGCAAACAGGAATGAGTCTTGATTGAATAATTGTCACAGAGCATGGCTCCATCCCTTGCTTATAAATCCCAGGCGCTTTAGAGTATCTGTTAGTTTGCTTCAATCTAGCTCAAACTCGCCTCTACCTTTTGATATAACAACAGTGCTTTTGTTAAAGTCTAATGTATTTGGGTTGGTTTTTTTTTTGTTCCTCTTGTAGGCTTTGTTTGAATACATCTTTCATCATGAAAATGATGTCAAGACCGTAAGTTTTGAAATTCATGCTCTTTTTGTCTGTTGTAATTTATTCTGACGAGATGTTTAGACTCTGAAATATTCTATTTCTCACATTATAAACAGATGGATTATTAAAGATCGAAGAATTACTCAATGCATCCAATTTCACTGCTACTTTCATTCGGAAACTGTGTGTAGACACAGATGTGAGAAAACCTGTACAGTGGCTGTAGCATGTCTAGACTCCGTTGAAGGGCAAGATGCAGATAATTGGGAATCCTGCACAGCATCTTTGTGCTCAAGTTGCGTTTTTATACCATCAGCATTGTTAATTCCACCCCCCCTTTAGTTTGTAGAATATATGACAGGTTCACAAATACACGTAGTTCTGGCTTTTAAGTCACACCTCCCCACCCATAACAACTCACGATGAAACATTTTCAAACTTAAAACGTCCAGAACTCCAAACTCCCTGACATCGAGTAGATGCTGACTCATAGCGACTCTGGGACAGGATAGGAAGATGGAGCGAATATCACTCATCACCTCGCTTTAATCTTAATCACCCCCTTTTTGCATTTTACATTCCTGTGGTTAGGAACTGCGCTCTGACCATTGCCTGCTGGTTATTTGCACTTGCTTACCCTAACACGTGCACGCACTCACGCACGGAATTTTGTAGAACACGAAATGAAGCTCTTTGCTTTGTTTTTGTTTAATGACAAGTACCGCATTGCTGGTTTCTCTGTTTTCCTTCTTATTCACAGATTTATATGTTGATTGATTACTCCCTGAGTAATCAATAATCAATAATCCCTGAGTAATCAAGTTGATTGCTTTACTCCCTGAGGAGTCATTATTGAGTGCCTGTGTGCTGGAGCTGTGCTGCGTGCTAAAGGGTCCTTACCGGAAGGACAGACCCCGTGTCTGTTTTCTGACCCTGTGACGGGTTTGCCACCTACCGTCACAGCGGATTGTTTCGGTGAGATGCGGTGTTAGGTTGGACCAGACACTCGCTTTCCTGGGTGGAAGGAGAATCTTGATAAATGAGCACGAAGCATATGCCTTTTTTATATATTCTTTAACTTCAGCTGGACCAAGCAGTGGAGGGCGGCCTCTGAATTTCTTTTTAAATAAAGTATTTCAGATACACCTGGAGAGCAAGTCAGAGAATAGGAAAACAAGTACCGAGACCGCTATGAGAAAAGTCAACGTGATCTTCCGTGGAAAGACAGAACTCCTGTCTTTTGAGTTCATTCTTCTCGTTTCGGTCGTGAAAACATAGGATGAAAGTGACACACAACCTGGTGATTCTCTGTTGTCCAGAGACCAATGCAGAGAATACAATAGCAGCAGAGATGTAGAATATACTACACAGTATTTCAATGCTGAAAGTGGCATTTGAATATTAATTAAAAGTGAAGTTGGTTTCTCATAGAAAGCCGCCTGTGAGTTCTTTAATTACCCTCTCCTCCTTTTTTGAGGTCCGCCCCTCCCTAAAAAAAGTCTCACACCAAACTCGTAGCTATTGAGTCCATTCCAGCCGCAGTGACCCTATCGGTCAGGCTAGGACTGCCCTTGTGGGGCTCCAAGATTGTAACTCTGCGGGAGTTGAAGGCCTCAACTTTCTCTGATGGAGAGTGGTTTTGGACTGGTGACCTTTCCGTTAGCAGCCCAATGTGTTACCCCCCTATGCCACCAGAGCTCCCTCCTTTCTTGGTAATATGGTTAAAACTAAAGTGGTGTGTAGGTTCGTATTCTGCCATCTCTAGTCCTATACCAGAACTTAAAACCCAACACACTGCCTTCCAGTCTACTCTGACTCAGGGCAACTTGTTCTTTTTTAATCATTTTATTAGGGGCTCATACAACTCTTATCACAATCCATACGTACATCAATTGTGTAAAGCGCATTTGTACATTCATTGCCCTCATCATTCTCAAAACATTTCCTCTCCATTTAAGCCCCCAGCATTAGGTCCTCATTTTCCCCCTCCCTCCCCGCACCCCCTCCCTCATGAGCCCTTGATAATTTTTAAATTATTATTTTGTCATATCTTGCCCTGTCCGACGTCTCCCTTCACTCACTTTTCGGTTGTCCATCCCCGCAACTCTTTAGAGCTGGGTAGAATTGCCCTTGTGAGTTTATGAGACTGTAACTCTTTACGGGAATGGAAGGCCTCATCTTTCATTCCTGAAGCGACTGGTGGTTTCAAACTGCTAACCTTGTGATTAGCAGCCTAACTTGTAACCACTGCGCCACCACTGCTCCTCCTCTATACTCTTTACTTCATCCTCCTGAATTGTTCAGAATTCAGCGATTGGAGCATTGTTACCGAGAACATTTATCAGGATGCTCAGCCGAAAATGGTTCACAATGATTTGTTGTCTCTACCTGCCGAGGCGGGCCCCCCCCCCCCCCACTGACCTTTTAAAGCCAAGGAAACCCTGTGGGACGGCAGTCCTGCCCTGTCACATAAGGCCCCTGTGAGTCAATGCCGACCCAACACACCTAACAACCACAAGGCTTTTATTTCTATCTAGACATGGGTTTGATTAAACTGTTCATAGATCTTTAGATGTAGTATATAATAATTCATTTTGTAAATGGAGAAGACTTCTATGACAACTATAGAATCGAATGTGACTAGCTTTTAATTATGAGACTTATTACTATGACAGTTTTCTTTTTTCCGTTCTCAATATTTTCCTTGTAAATCAGAGACAAAAAATAGAATTAATTCCATCCATACATAATTCCTGACCGCCTTGAGTGAGCTCAGCAGTGGAGATGTAGCAGAGACCCCGGGGAGCTCTAGTCCCATTTGAAATTGTCACGGATGTTTCTCTGTCCCACTTAGCCTCTGTTTTCATCTGAAGAATGATCATTCAGATGTAAATTTCATTGCTTATCTGTGGTTCCACAGGAGAAAGAC